TAGGTATGGGCCTGCCCTTGTCATGTGCTGGGGCTACTGACCTGCCTTGTAGTGGGGAGGGGCTCCCTGGGGAGCCAAGGGTACTACAACAAGGGGCCATTGGCCAGGGCTGGGCCAAGGCCACCTGCCTGAAGTCTGCTGCTGAAACACCAGCACTTGCAGAACGTGGCCCCTGCCAAGATGTGTCCTTGTGTCCTACCCATCCCCCTGGGGATCCTCCTGACACATGTTGACTAATGTCTCTTGGATAAGTGGCAGGGCTGCCAGGCTTCCTATGGTGAGCCCAGTGGCAGTCCAGGTTGCCTGTGGGGCTCAAGTGAAAGCAAAATGGGGACACCCCTGGCATCCACTGCCTGCCAACTCTGGAAAGAGGGGGCAGGTGTCACTGCAGCACAAGGGTTTGTGGAAATGCTGGTGTGACTGCCTCCCTGCCTCTGACTCCTTGTGCCATCAGGAGCTAGGCTCACCCTTATGCCCGGGCTCTAGCCTGTGCCTTGCACTTGCACATCATGTACACAGCAGGCAAACAAGGGTGCACCACGGGCTGGGAATGCTGACAGCTCCATTTGGAACTGGGCAGTGACCGCCCTATGGACTTCTATATGAGAACATTCGAGACTTTACAACCATTCCAACCTGAGCCTCCTGAAGAGTCCATTGCAGCTTGCAGAGAGCACTGGCTAATCTCCATGGCAGGGGCTGGGCAGGTGCCTGCCTCCAAACACTTCCCTACAGCTTCACATAATGGTGCTTTGGGTCCCCTGATGCCTGAGACATCGCTGGTGGGGGTGTGAGGAACTGTGCCCTGACAGTCACAGACATCTGAGTTTGTCCCTCCATGTGGGCCAGTAGTGCCAGCTACTCCACTCCTTTTCCACAGTCCTCCTGAAGCCACAGAGTAACCGTCTCCATCAGCTGTGCAAATCAGAGGCACAGAGCCCCCCGCTGGATGAGGGCACATGGCCTCTTAGGTTGTCCTTGTGCGGGGACTCAGTGGAGGTGGGTCGCCAGTCACTGCTGCTCCTATACCTGAGTCCCAGTGTCCCCACTTGTGACAGAGATGACAGGTGGTGCTGCTGCCCCACAGGATCAGCCAGGGGAATGGGTGTCTGAGAAAATCCCACTGGGCCATGTTTAGGCCTCCTGGGCTGTCTGAGGAGCCCTACAAGGGCAGTAGGCTTTAGAAAACTGGGGTGACTACAGGGTGAGGCTCTTGTCAGGCTGAGGGTCCACTGGGTCCTTCTGGATAACAGTGGGAAATGCAGCCAAAGGCACGCAGGGCTCCCCACCTGCTCAGTGCCTGGCCTGGAACCCCCTCGCCTTCCCTCCCTGCACTGCCCTGTGCTCACTGCAGCTCTCACACCTGGGAGCCCAGAAACGCTGATGTTCTCCTTGGCAACGTGCTGACGCAAAAGCCAGCGGGTGGGCCAGGGGGCTGTGACTCCATCATTGCTGGGCGTGGGGGTGGGGAGGTACCGCCAGCCTCCATCAGGGAGGATGAGGTCTTGGAAGCAGAGCAAGGGAGGAGAGCTCTAGAGGAGCTGCATCTACAGCTCTGGTGCCAGCCCCTGGCTTATTTGGCTTTTGTGAAAACCAACATGGCCTGTTCTTGGCTGACTTGCCTTTGACGGGGCCCAGGGAGGACAGTTCAGGATATACCAAAAGGAGAAGGCAGAGAGTGGCAGCTCTGTGCTAGTCCTGGCCCAGCTGGAGGGAGGCCGGGCACGGAAGAGGTGATCTGTCCTCACTGCTGGCACCACCCCAGGGGCCAGCCAGCAGCAGAGGGCTCAGAATCACAGGAGGATATTGTCTTTCCTCGCAGCCTATTTGTTTTCTATCCTCAGATATTACTGGTAGAGCATAAAAGGTCAGAACCATTTGGAATCCAGTGAATTTCCAGCCTCGCTTGGGTTTCTCATCAAGAATTTCCTTTTCTGGTGAATAATCACTTGCTCAGGTCTGCAGAGGCCAGGGTGATGGTGATGGGGTGCACCTGACTGCCAATCCTTCCCTTTGGAAAATGGCCCAAATACCCACAGCCATATCCCCATGGCCAGGCCAGTGGCTGCTGTCCCTGCCCAGGGCTGCACACTGTGGCTCCCCACAAGGACAGGCTGGGAGAGGGGGGCCTGGGATGTGAAGCCCACCTAGCCTATCAGGGCCTGTGCAGGCACAGGGCTGGGGACAGAGAAATCCTTCTCAGGAGGTGGCATTCAGAATGAGACCAGAGGACAGTGGCAGGGGACAGGATGGTCATGAGCTGGAGACGGGACAGAACAGCACTGTGGGAGTGAAGCAAGTTGGCCATGGCTGGAAGAGAGAAAGGACAGAGGCAGCAAGGTGGTAGGCACTGGACAGGCAGACCCCTGAGGGCCACCAGCAGGAAACCTGG